TGTGTGTGAATATATGTACACACACACACACACACGCATACACATATGTGTGTTTATGTGTATATACTACATATATATATATATATATATATATATATATATATATATATATATATATATATATATACATGACTGCCGCGATGGTCCAGTGGTTAGAGTATTGGACTCAGACCTCTCATGGTGTGTGTGTATGTCCGTGTGTGTGTGTGTGTGTGTGTGTGTGTGTGTGCGTGCGTGTGCGTGTGCGTGTGTGTGTGCGTGTGCGTGTGCGTGTGCATGTGCGTGTGCGTGTACGTGCGTGCGTGCGTGCGTGCGTGTGTGCGCGTTTGTGTGTGTGTGATTAGACTGTTAACATACAGACACAAACACAAACACACGTACGTGCACATACATATACGAACACACACACACACACACAGATAGATAGATAAGTATATATGTGTATGTATGTGTATGTGTCTGTGTTTGTATGTGTATGTACGTGTGCGTGTATTTATGCCTGTGTCTGCATATTAACAGTCTAATAATTTTTACCACATCTATGCCTCCAGAAGAAACTTGCTAACTCGTCAACCGTTAGTACTAACATCAGGAGAACGAGATTAAGTATGCAGTCCTAGCAACATCATTGGCCACTCCTATATATCTCATGACACGTCCTGCGGCACTCCCAATCCCTTGCAGGGTTTGGGAGTATCCTCGAGTCCTGCTCTCTGGCATTTTTGGTATTCGGGGATTTTTGTTATACCTGATATTCTGGCTGCCATGTTTTGTGACGTTCATTGTTCTGGAGATTCGCAATAGTGTCCCATCTGCTGTGTTTCTTATTGATTGAAAAATGTTATATACTTTTGAATTACTATTATTTTGTTTCCTGGCTTAAACATTACGTGAAGTATGTAAATAAAAGAAATCGGCTGATACTGCGGGAAACCCCATACGTAGCATCAAAAGCATGTAGCTCAGTTAATATTAGCACTGAAGTTTGAAGGTATTATTGTATGTGTTTGCGTGGGAAGGATCACTTGAGCAATCACGCTTCTAAAAGACTCCGTGTGATTGCCTGAGTATGTCTAGAAGATATCATCTCGCGTGCAAGCCCTTCTGAGTGTCTAGTTGCTCTCGCCAAAGTATGACGTCAGCATTCTCTCTCTCTCTATCTATCTGTCTCTGCTCTCCCTCTCTCTCTATCTATCTATCTGTATGTTTATCTCTCTAATTAATTATCTATGTATCCACCTAACTATGTCTGTTTCTTATTCTCTTTATTCTCTTGCAACTGCCGGCATTTGTCCACGGAAAGCCACTACATATATTGAAGATTCTGAAAGTGTCTGAAGGTGTCCTAAGGCAAGTGTTAGAATGAATACATATATATGTATGACATCTTCGCATCTAGAGCACTGCGCGACGTCTGCGTCTGCCCGCATGTCTTGGCAGTCCGGGGAACTTTAGGGTCTAAGTGAAACGACGTAATCATGTCAATGATCATTTGATAGACTATGATTATATGATAGGCTATGGTGGGTGCGCTGACATGTGTTTTAAGTGTAAGAATGCGTTATCTTGTTCTACCATGTGGCAAGCGTGTGTCCCTGTAAAATATATATTCAGTGACTGAAAGATTGCGGTGCATAATATGATTCACAGGAAAATTCATAGTTACTTTATTTCAGACGTTTAATTAGGTGAACATCATTCAGTTTCAGCTTCCATCAAGGAACTGTCGAACATGATGTTTCAAACACTCAAACGTATCAGCGAGCCCGAAGTACGAGTTTATTAAATGGCTTATGAGGTCCTCATGATTGACTATTATTTTCATCATTATTAGTACTATTTTTTTATTGATATCATTGTCGTTATAATTATTACTATTATTATCATTATTACTTTTATAATTATTATTAGTATCTTAATCATTATTATTGTTATTGTCACTATCATTATCATTATCATTATTTGTATGCGATTAGGTCAATGGTAACAATACACGCTAGTATCAACTGCACTGAGGGGGTGAGAGACCTCCAAATCAAATTCTGTTTTGAGGGGATTATTGATGTTTTTTTGGAAGAGGGAGATGCCTACAGGCCTTAATTTCCAGGCGAAGTGGCTGAATATCTTCGGTTTTTGGTTAAATAAAGTGAGAAATTTCCTGACAGATGCAACACAGGAGTGTATATCCTATACTTTTATTGGGTGGTGCATGGATCTACCTTGTCGAGAGTGGGCATATTTTCTCTCCTTATTTGCCGTTTCGGAAATTTCCCGAAAGAAAGGGTATTTGGGGGATGGTTACTCCACCTCAACCGTCCTCCTCTTTACGCCAACGCTTAAGAGCCCATAAGGCTTTGGTAGGAGTCACTAATTACTCTTTTTAGAAACTAAAATTTGGTGATAAGCTATAGGCCTACAGCCTATAATTACAGTAACTGAAAAAAATCCGCACAAGAGGTTATTAATAGGAGGCCAGAAATTCTTTTGTTTTTCTTTGAATATAAGTAATCACACATTTGTCTAGGTTAAATAAACAGCTTATATAATCATGTTCCTACAAAAATCATGCATAATAATGTAAATTCAACAGGCACTATTCTAAATTGTGTATTTACGGTACATAATATATGACGCATTCATTCAGGACCTGTGAGTTTTTGAGCATCTATTTCTCTTTTCTTTCGTCACATTACTGGTTTGAAAAAAAAAAAAAA